GAGATTTAAATAGCAGTTGAAGTCAAGTAAAAGATGAAATGGTAGTCTCAGAAAAGTCATAGCAGGGTGGATTTCTAACCTGGGGTCAGAGGTTTGCTGTGCTTTTCTGGTGAGACAGTGGGCTGACTGAGAGAATATGGAGGCACTAAATCTTTATCATTTTAAGAAAAAAAAGGAACTAAAAACTCTCCAGGGTTGGGTTTATATGATCATAAAAACACCAAAGAGTAAGGATAACAAAGTAGAGTTTATTCTGGTATGTGTTTTCATATGGACATATTGGTTGTGATTTAGTTCTCTGAGAATTTTTTAATGTAAAGGATAGAATCTGATGTGTCCCCGATGAGTGATTTTCATTTGTAAGTTTTCCTAAAGTGTGTTCTCTGAAGTAGCATGGTGAGGAAGTGGAAGTGTCTGTTGTTAGGGAGACTAATTTTAGAGTGAACAGTATTATATCTGTTTATCCAGTCAATCTGTCCAGCCTCCTAAGTGTACTGAAGCCGTTGGAACCTTTGGACTGTGGAGTCATGCCACAGTGTGTGTGTGCGTGTGTGGGTGTGTGTGTGTGTGTGTGTGTGTATGAGAGAGAGAGAGAGCACAAGAGTGAGCAAGAGCATGCCTGACTTTCTGTTTTTATAAGTCAGACCCTTAATCTATCTCATTTAATATTAGAACGATGTGTATGAAGTCCCATTATTTCAGGTAACAGTATCCAGAAACAAACCTCACATTGAAAAATGATATTAAAAGGGCCAGTATTTAGTAAGCTTCCTCAATAATCTGGTCAACTGATGGATGTCCTAGAGTAAAATGATGTTTGCTTTTCAAAGATAGGGAGTTATCTATAATTCAGAAAGCACCTTTGTTTCATACATTGAATTTTTCATCCTGAAACGCCATGACATTATAGCTCCATCAAAAAAACCGGCAAATAATCATGCTGTTAAGAAAGAGAAACACCTTCGCTTTATCTCACCCACAGAAGGGCCTGCACTAGCTAAGCTTTGGAAGAGGAGGAAGTGGCACGGATGGTGGAATATCTTGCTGGTACACCAGCAGTAAGTTCCTGCCCCCTTCCCCTGTTTAGGAAATTCCATTTTAGACTTTATTAGCATTTTACTTGTTGAATTGGAAATAATGTTTTTAATAACTGATGAACTTCATTTGAAGGAAGGTCAGAGGAAGGTTCTGGAGATAAGGATTAGAAATCTGAGCGGCCTTCAGAGGACGAAGTACCAATGACTTAGGAGTGTTATCCTTGAAAATAAAACTGTCAGTTATTTTACCAGCAAAAATGGGTGTAATGAGGAATAATAGAGAATTGCAACTCAGGACAAGCAAACTACAGTAAAACCATAGGCATGTCCAGAGAACAAAGGAGAAGAACTCTCTTTTATGGAGTAAGGGTCTGAGTTGAGAGAACTGTACTAAGCAAAAAGTGCTTGAAGGAAACTGGGAGTCCCACATATCATGGCTTCTCATTGGCTGAGTTGTGACAGTCTCTCACTGACTGGGCTGTTGCCAGGGCAGGCAGAAACCTTCCTTCCTTCCTCCTGCTGGGCAGTAAAGTAGCTAAGACAATATCAGCTTGTAAAGTCTCTTTCTCTTCCATCTCTTCCTTCTGGTGGGGTTTGTAATTAAGGAGTACTGGGTGTGAGAGCTCCCCTTGCTGGCCTCCCAATTCTGCTCCTGTGAGGTTTCGCTTAGTTTTCACAGGGGTTTGTTGAGTGAAAACTCTGAGCATCTTCCTGGGAAGCCCTTCTCATTCCCTGTGGAGTTCTGCACCAGGAGGGTGTTACAATGATCCCATTGCTGTGGAAGTTGGAGGTTGGCCACTTCATTTACTGAGGCAGAAGGAAAGAGCAGAGAGGGAGATGAGAAGGTGTTGCAAGGTGGACATATCCCTTCTGGCTTGTTAACAGTTGCATACCAGTGGGCTCCTCCGCCACTGCCTAGCCTTATAGGGGCTTCAACTGACCATGAAGTTGTCAGAGTCATTCATGGTTTTATTTTACTCAGGGTAGACATCTTTATCGTGGTAAGAATATTAGTTGTGCTTTAAAGGAAAGGGGCAACTGCCCATAGCTCCATCTCTTGAGCATTTGCTGTGAGTTAAAAGTTATATATCCATTGTCTCATCCAATATCTGAGGCATGTTGCCATCTTTACAAACAATGAAAAAGGTTAGGTTAGAAAACTTGCTCAACTCACCCAGTTAATATGTTGGCAGTGCCATGTATGCCAGAACTCTGCCCCTAGCATTTATCTCTTAACCAAGTCTCTTTAGAGCATTCCCTCAGAGATGTCATTTAAGGTAAAGGAAAAGGCATGTTTGAAGACACAAAGGTACTCATAATATAGTGATGAGTCTAATCGTTTTGTTGGGGTGGACATTTTAAATTGGGTGACAGTGAGAGAGATCAGTCATCTGAACTGGCCTGTAAGGCCCCAATTCTCTGCCCTCCAGCCTGCCTGGCTTTTTTTCAGTTCCACAATGGATCATGCTCCCTTGATCCCTGGACCTTTGCACATTGCAGGTTCCTCTGCCTGGAAGTCTCTTTTCCATTTTCTTTTCTTACCTAATTAACTCCTATCCTTCTTCATATAGTCACTTAACCACCCACAGATGCTTTTCCTGACCAGCTGTGTTTATCTCTACCACTGCTCCCTAAGGGCTATGTCAGTATACATGGCATCTGACCTGGTTATCATCTTTTCTGTACTATCTAGTTCAGTACCTGGAACACAGTACATGATTAGTGTATATTTGTTGTACAAATGAGGGAAAGCTGGAAATTTTATAAAGAATAGTGATTAGGAGACTTTTGGTACTTACATGGGAGTCATGGTGATGAAGACAGGAGTTGGTAGATTGCCGGTTGTTAAACAGCTGTTGAAGAAAATGGATTAGACTGGATTAGAAGAAAATGCTTCTAATGAGGTGCATCTACATTGTTGCAAGAAGAGTGAGGGCCTAGTTTCCTGGCACATTTAAACTATGATCACAGAGTAAAAAGAAAGATGTAAGAATGGGTGAGTGAGTGAATAGAGGATCAAGGGAGAAGAGGCAGAGATTTCAAGCCCTGGAACTGAGGAAGATGAGGTGCTGTTTGCTGTGTGGGCTGTCCCAGATGACTGTGAATGATGGCTCAGTCTCGGTGTGCAGAGGCAGGGCTTCGTATGGCAAGGGATGAGGTCCCCAAGGCTGGGCTTTCTGGCCTGGCTGTGAATTTGGGAGTTACTGACACATATGTGATGGGTGAAACTCCCTGTGGAGAGGAACGGGAATGCCTTACATCTGTCCTATTTCACAATGTTTCTCATCTCTTGTTATGTTGTTGGAGCAGACCTTGCAAAAAGTAGGATAAATATTACAGACTATTTCTGAGTAAACAGGAGCTGAGTTATGTGTCCAGTGCTATACAGATAGTAAACACATAGAACACATAGGGACTCAACCAGAGATCTTCCCTAGATCTTTCTATCTGAAGGCTGACAGCTGCAGGCTGTAGCGAAACATGCTATTATCTTTAACATGTCCTATACATTTGTTTTAACAAAGAGATTTTTTTTACCATCTTTTGCAAAATGTGCTATATATGTAAAATGTCATCTGTTGTCATTTTTGAACTTCCATTATAGCACATGAATGCAGTTAATGAAATAAAATATTTTTCCTCCACTCTAAATATGATTACAAATGTAGAAAGAATTATAGAAACAATACTGCTACTACCAAAATCTTCTAAATGGCCAAACAACACTAACTTTGGCTCTCTTTCAGAATACTCCTCAACCATTTGTTTTTGCAGCTACCCGCTGTGTTTCTGCCCTTACGGGCATTCACTGGAGAGAGGAGAAGCATTGTGCATACCACTCCTTAGTTTTTGCCTTTCGAGATCAATGGCAGTTTCATAAAAACAAGATAATTTCTATGTAGCATTAGAACCAAAAGTCAGAGTATTCTTTTAGACTATAAGTTCCTTAAGGTCTGTGTGTGTTAAAATGACAGTGAGCCCCTGAAAATGTTGAAATACAATACTGTTAGCAAGTGGGTATTGTTTTTAATAATGTGAATTATTATTTTGAAGTCAAGTTACTTTGCAGTATTTTCAACCTGAAAGACATGTTAATATAGGTAATCAAATGCTCTGTTATAAAGTTCATTGCAATTCCATGAGCATTCAGTGTACTTTTATGAAGTGATATTATGAACATCTTATTCGGAATAACAACTTGAATTTTTGCTCTGGTTCAGCACTGTCTTTTATGTAAACCTGGTAATTAAAATCCCTTGAAATATTGGCAAATCTGTACAATGAGGATATGAACAATATATGTTTCCATCACTTTGACCTATGTTATTGAGTGGTTTAAAAGGGAGAAATAGCTGAAGGTGTTTTGAAAAAGGCAGTTAGTGCTAATACTAAATATAAATATATGGTTGTTAAAAATCAAAGCCCTTTAATTTTAAGATAAAAATCAAAATCCTTTGTTGATACATAAATACTCTGAGGCAATTCTTAATCTCATATTTACTGTGATTTAGCACAAATAGGTGCCACTTAATGTCAGGTTATTCAGGCTTACCTTGCTTTTTAATTTTTTTTTTTGACTAGATGAGGTGATGACTCGTATATGCCAAAATATTAGATTCATTTATTTATTTGAAAATTACAAAGGAAAATCCAAAAAGGTGGGATCAGAAATTCAATAGATACTTTGCCCTATGTTTCAGTCAGCACAATTAGTTTTTTTAAATGATAAACCTCATTATATCAAAATATGTAACATCGTGGCAGATTGTACATATGCTGTTAGTTCCAGCTGGGAGTGGGTTGGAAGATTGGCACATGGGGTGTTTCGGCAAAGGGTAGGGAAAAAAAAAAGAAAAACTCTCTGATGTGGACTATCATAGTTATTGTGCAGAATGCCAAAAGTTAAGGAAAAATGCCAATTTGGAAAAGTATAATAACATTGCTTTGTTTTGTGAATTGTAGCTGACTTTGGCCTGGCCAAGCAAAAACAAGAAAACAGTAAACTCACGTCTGTTGTGGGAACAATCCTGTATTCCTGGTAAGGACAATTATTTTATAGCCTTCAAACATCACATTTAAGTGGCTTGGGCTTTAAATAATTCTTTTGGCTTGCAAAAGAAAGAATTTTAGAAAAGATGCTTATTTAATGTTTTCCTCATTTACCCAGATAATACACATGTACAGATTTATACAGCACTATGTGTTTGTTTAAAACAATACCAACAAATTATCTTTCCTCTAAGGTAACTGTCCCTCATGGGGACTACTTTTATTACTTATAAATTGAAATGATCCTTAGCATACAGTAGGTGTGCAATTATTGTTTATGTGGTACTCAGCATGATACTTGGAGCATTTTATTGCACCTCCTAGAAAAATTACTCTTTCTGTTTCTGCCTGTAAACATTCAAGGGCAGGGGCAGAGTTTTTAGGTACTAATACCTATCCTAGCACCCGGCAAATAATAGGTACTGATTAAATTTTATTACATGAATGAATAAATGATGATATATATACTTAGACATGTTTACAAAGTTGATTGCTTCTTGGGTAAATGAGTTTTTATATTTTGATGCATTGAGACACTTGTAACTTCCTTAGCATGCTCTGAAGGCTCCTTGACAATTTAATTATTACGAAGTGAGAGTCTTCTTTTGCTTATCACATATCATTTATCTGAATCCACTGAAATTAGCAAACAGATATGGTAGTCAGTAAACACAGCAGATTTCAGAGAAAGATTCTCACATCTCATTCCACAGGTCAAGTGATCAAGACATTTTCATCTTCCTTTTTAATCTAGTCTATTGTATAGTTGAGCCCTGGGGATAGAATTCAGAATGAATCTGCTTGAGGGAGGGTAGAAATTGTAAATAAAATTGTAAATAACAACCCTATTTTAAAAAGTCCTTTCATACAAGAATATTCAGGATGGTGTTTCTGAAGGGTGAATTTAATCACGAGAAGATGCAGAGATTGAGGGCCAGCGTGATGTTGTACCTTGAAAACTGCAAGTTCATCCACACACTTAATCTCTTAAAAAGGCTGACCTACCCACTACTTGCTGCTGGATGAATAATTTGTCATTTCACTTTGCACTCAAAAATTTTTTCACTTTGCACAAAAAAATTTTTCACAGTAAATGAAAATTTAATCACAAAAGTGTGCAATAAATGTATATTCCTCAATGACTTCATTGTCAATGAAAGTCACAGAACCAACTAAGTCAGATTTCAGTTGGATATCCTTGGTATAAGCAGATTTATTCCCCATACCGTGCATTAAATTTAGAATTCCTCATATGGTAACTGTGTGTATGATATTGGGGGAGGGGCCCAAATCTAGAAATCTAGAACATATGTAGGAAGAAATCTAAATCATGACAGCTGTTTTGCTTTCTTAGCCCAAAGATGGATTCACATTTTCTTTTAATTCTTAAATTATTTGAAGAGTTAGGAAAGCTGAGCCTCCTCATATAGTTAAGCTATTATTTCATTTAGATATATCACAATTATTTTAATAATGTGCACAGCATACCTTATTACCATTCATCTCTTAACAAGCTCTGTGTTCTTTTAAATTGCTTTAAAAAATAATTTCTACTCCCTCCTCCTTTATCCTCTAATTATTAGAAATGCTCCTCATGTGATGGGGATTTACTATGAACTTCAACTTACAAGCCCCTTTTTCTTCCTAGTTTTTGATGTCTTCACCTGAGCACGGAGTTAAAAGATTTCAGTCCTGAATTATATTTCCTTACTTTTTTACTCTGGGATCCTTCCGAAGATAAGGAATCCTGTGAAATAGTTTATCTGGGAGGTGGTCCCAGGAAACATTGGTAGGGGAGAAGGGAAACGAGACAGGAATGCAGCCAGTACCTATAACATTAACAATCAGAGTCATAGATCATTCTCTGGGTTATAGCGGAGAAGATGTTTCTGAGTTGTCCTATATGCTGAATGTAAGGCTGGAGTGTTTTTGTTTTTTGTTTTTCCAATCACATATGGGAACACGTGTCTTTGGCTGCGCTGCTCGGCAGAGGGGTGGGTCCTGCTCGGTGGGGGTGGGGGGCGTGGAGTGAACTCCTTGGACCCCCTAGTGTGCTGGGAGAAAGCAGGGGTCATAGGTCGCTGCTTACAGTACAATGCAGAGGACTTGTACTGGGAATTGGGACCTGGCCTGGGTTCTGACTCTGTTGACTGTATAATCTCTCAAATTCTAGTCCTACATTTAAGATGTTTTCTAATAGATCACTTGACATGTCTGATTCTTTTTTAAATTTTCCATATCCTCAGTTTTGTTTGAGTTTGTAAATTAGATAAAAATGAGGCATCTACTTTATACTCTTTACTCTGAAGTCATATCTTCATGCCTTTTCTTGAATTGTCCCCTTAGCCATCCTCATGGTATTTCCCTCCAAATTCTGGAATCTTTGTGTAAGCCCTCTGAGCTTCTCTGACCCTATTACTGTGGACCTGGGATGCTTGTCCTTGCCCTCCAGGGTCCCCAGAATTTGGTGAGTTTGATGTTCCCATGTCATTTTGCTTTTTCCTTTTTCCTTTGCTCCCTCAGACATTAACCTATCAAATGGAAGAAAATTCTCTATCAACTCTTGTAGGGAGCACCTCAGAGCATTCTTTATTCTGTATCTCAGCTGTCAGGTAAATGGCCTGTGGGCTCTGGTCTGACTGTGCTCAAACAGCTCAATACAAGCTCCTTTTTTTTTCCATCTGACCTGATTCATTATTAGGCAGGTCTTTGTTATCCTTCTGTTAGAAAATAATCGCCAAATATGGTCCATAGTTCTGTTTTTTGTCTGTTTTTAAGCCAATTCCATAATCCAAAACTGCACACTATCTTTAACTGCACTTTAAGATCATATTTTAGAGTTTGAAACTCTGAGAAACAGGTTAGGCTAGTCTGTCATGGAACATGTACTTGGGATTTCTGGATAATAAATATGGTCTATTAAAAAAGTATGATCTAGAGCACGGAGTTAAAAGATTTCAGTCCTGAATTATATTTCCTTACTTTTTTACTCTGGGATCCTTCCGAAGATAAGGAATCCTGTGAAATAGTTTATCTGGGAGGTGGTCCCAGGAAACATTGGTAGGGGAGAAGGGAAACGAGACAGGAATGCAGCCAGTACCTATAACATTAACAATCAGAGTCATAGATCATTCTCTGGGTTATAGCGGAGAAGATGTTTCTGAGTTGTCCTATATGCTGAATGTAAGGCTGGAGTGTTTTTGTTTTTTGTTTTTCCAATCACATATGGGAACACGTGTCTTTGGCTGCGCTGCTCGGCAGAGGGGTGGGTCCTGCTCGGTGGGGGTGGGGGGCGTGGAGTGAACTCCTTGGACCCCCTAGTGTGCTGGGAGAAAGCAGGGGTCATAGGTCGCTGCTTACAGTACAATGCAGAGGACTTGTACTGGGAATTGGGACCTGGCCTGGGTTCTGACTCTGTTGACTGTATAATCTCTCAAATTCTAGTCCTACATTTAAGATGTTTTCTAATAGATCACTTGACATGTCTGATTCTTTTTTAAATTTTCCATATCCTCAGTTTTGTTTGAGTTTGTAAATTAGATAAAAATGAGGCATCTACTTTATACTCTTTACTCTGAAGTCATATCTTCATGCCTTTTCTTGAATTGTCCCCTTAGCCATCCTCATGGTATTTCCCTCCAAATTCTGGAATCTTTGTGTAAGCCCTCTGAGCTTCTCTGACCCTATTACTGTGGACCTGGGATGCTTGTCCTTGCCCTCCAGGGTCCCCAGAATTTGGTGAGTTTGATGTTCCCATGTCATTTTGCTTTTTCCTTTTTCCTTTGCTCCCTCAGACATTAACCTATCAAATGGAAGAAAATTCTCTATCAACTCTTGTAGGGAGCACCTCAGAGCATTCTTTATTCTGTATCTCAGCTGTCAGGTAAATGGCCTGTGGGCTCTGGTCTGACTGTGCTCAAACAGCTCAATACAAGCTCCTTTTTTTTTCCATCTGACCTGATTCATTATTAGGCAGGTCTTTGTTATCCTTCTGTTAGAAAATAATCGCCAAATATGGTCCATAGTTCTGTTTTTTGTCTGTTTTTAAGCCAATTCCATAATCCAAAACTGCACACTATCTTTAACTGCACTTTAAGATCATATTTTAGAGTTTGAAACTCTGAGAAACAGGTTAGGCTAGTCTGTCATGGAACATGTACTTGGGATTTCTGGATAATAAATATGGTCTATTAAAAAAGTATGATCTATTGACTACTTCTGGAATGGGAATTCTTTGAGCCTATATCACTTAGTGTAATCCCATTCATATTATGACCTGAGATAATTTAAAGGACAGCTAGTAAAGTTTTCATTTAAAATCAGAATAAATCTGTAGGTAAGCCTGGACAAGTAGAGACAAAGTAAAGCATGCCCAACTGTCGACTGTACCTCTTAAGTTCTTAAGAAAGCTGTGATATACTCAGAACTCTGAAACTCTTTAAACGCTTCAGTATTCCAATGGTTCATAATTTAAAGACCAAATCCTCAGTATGGCTATGAGCATACAGCCCTGCCACATCATCCCAGACTTAGCTGTTGCATCTGTGTTCCCTCTGACCACAGGGCTTTTGTACATGCTGGTCCCCCTGCCTGAAATACTCTTTTCCCACTTGTTGTCTGTTAACTCTTTCTTATCCCTCACCTCTCAGCTGGAGCACAGCCTCCTCAGGCAAACCTCCCTAGACAGGGCACATTTTCCCTGGTCTACATACTCCATGCACTTTTCCTTCACATGGTTGGGTTTTTAATTTATTTTGTGATAGGCCGTGATGATTTTGTTCATCACTATCTCCACCACTGAGCCTAGCAGCTGGTATTTCATAGGTTCACAAGAAATATTTACTTATATGGATAATCCTATATTTGAATAAATAATATACTATGAAGAAAATTGTTCCTTTCACTGTAACAATTTTCTTATCCCTTATCACCTCCCCCTTTGCTGTTTCTTCAGGTCTCCAAAATGGTCCTATCTGGATTCTCTTCCTC